CGTGAAAATACGGTAATTTCAACACATTACAATTTCGGGTTGGGATTTCCATTTCCATTCGTACAGTGGGAAAAGAGGGTTTTTGAGTTACGAGCATGGTCACAAAATGAATTCAGTTGTACCTCAGGGCACCACTGTACCCACAAAATCATTTCACACAAATTCACATACAGTACTCTTATCATACAAAAAAATACGCAGGGAAAAAAAAAACATGCACAAACATTCATACACTTATTAACATACTTACACAATGGTGCCATCATAACATGTCCACAATAGCATCTTGTGTCGCCAACATGGTGTGTTTTATTCATGTTAACAGTGGTTGAGACTTTGAGCTCCATCCTCCTCCTCCTTTTGCAGCTGCATGCCGGCACGCTTCATGTATTCTCACTGAATGTATTCCTGGCATACGTGTATTCAGAGAGAATGTCTTATGTATTCATCGGGACTTGTGTATGTGCGAGGGTAAAAAACAAGCGTCCGGACCGCGCGGCGGGTGTGACTAACACTTGGGAATTTGACCTCAGATGAGTATGAGAGCCGCCGGGCCAAACAGCCAGCAGCCGCCCGTCAGCGGGGCGCCACCCAATCAGGTGACGCAGGGCGGCCAGGCTCCGCCCCAGGGTCCCATCCTACGCTTGGCCAACCCGGGGGCCAACCCGCAACTGCGCAGCCTACTCCTCAGCCAACAGCAGCCGGTGAGAAGGCAGCCCGACGTCCCGCGCGTTTGCCTGGAAGCTTGGTGGAGGTTCAACTTTGTCGTCAACCACACCTCTCTCACAGCAGGGGGGCGTGTCCCACATGCCCGGGATGATGTCGCACCAGGGACTCGGCCAGCAGATGGTCCACTCGGCGCCAGGAGCGGGTGCTCAAATGCAGGCGCAGTGGAGGCAGCCCATGCCAGGTTGAACTCATTCAGTATCGCCGCTTAGATTCTTTTTACACTTGTGAGACGTCAACTCACAGATTGGTTAACTTCTTGTCACTCTCCGCATGGCTCAAGTTGAACATCACTGGCTTTTTTTTTTTACCTGGTTTTTGCTATTCACTCATCAATGCATCATCTTTTCTCATGATTGCAACACACTTTCTACTACATACCATGACACGTACTCTATTGATAGCATACATGTACATACTCTGTTCTACTGTGAGGTGCCAAAACGTGTCCGACTTCAAACGCCCTACCATTCCCCTTCCTCATTATCAACGTGACAAGTTGAAATTCACCGACTAATCTATATCTTCTACTCTAAATTAGTGCTGATCTCAAATCCAAAGCACGCAAGTCAGCCATCCACTGGTGTGTGTCTGTCATTACAGTTATGTAGAAACTGGAATTTCAATTATAGGATGTTTTTTCTGGCTTCAAAATAAGCTTTAAAACAGTTATCGTCCCGTTGTCTCGGTCCTTGTGTATGCGCAGGCCAGATGCTGATGTCCGGAGCTCAGCGCGGGGCCGTACCCCAACCCGGGATGCCCCAAGTCTCCGGCGTCATGGAGGATGATATCCCCATGGACCTCATTTAAGGGATCTTCAGGAGCGGGTCAAATCCTGGACTTACTTTGGCGCTTTTTGGACTGTTGTGTATTTGTATTTGTATTTTTTTTTCATACCTTGGACATAAGTACAGCCCAGATGATGAGAAAGACTGGCTAGAGCGTGTGTGAAGCTAACATTGGTTTGCTTAGATCACACGCACGCGCACACATACAAGAAGTAGTAACAATGCTTCAGTCAACATGGCTATGTGTTTAACAATTAATTTCATAAAATAAACACAGTTCGCTGTGTGCTTTTTTTTTCCTGTTTGCAGCCAAACGGTGTCAGCGTGTTAATTTTAACCGCTCCAATATGTCGCCCCCTCCCGCCTCGCAGAGCCGCCTCTCGTGGCCAAGTAGTCCTACCAGATGGCGCCGCTCCGCCGCCAATAGGGCTGACCAGGAAGTGACGTCACCGCCCGTCATCTGGGAGATGGTTGCTTGGATACGGCGACAGTGGGCTCTTGTTTTGCTCCTCTTTTTTTTTTTTCTTTTTTTTTTTTCCCCTCCTCTTCCTCCCCGAGATGAACTTCACTGAGCTCCGTCACTCGGCCCCCTTACTTGGACCACTTCACTCCTTGCTTGGCCCCCCACTAGGCCCCTTAACTCGCCCACTATCTACCTAACTAGGCCCAGTTTCTCCACCCCTCCCCCTTTAGGCACTCCCTCCAGTCGCCAACCCATCTACCTTTCACTAAGTACCCTTCAGTAGGGCACTGTAACTAGGCCCCCCCCCTTACTAAGCCCCCTGCACGAATTACGCTATTGTATGCCCTCCTCACTAGATCACCCTTACTAAGGTCCCCTAACTAGGTCCCCCTGACTAGGCCTCTTCATTAGGCTGTTGCTCATCTCTTGATCAGCGGCAGGTCCTTCGGGGCCCGACTCCAAGTAGCTCTCGCCTACCTTCCTCTGTCTCGCCACCTCCGTCTTCCTGCCCCCGTCGGTATTAGCAGTTGCGTGCGCACGCCTACGCTGTCCTACAGCACCAGACATTGTTGTCTGAGGCCCCTTTTTACACCGCACTTAGAGTTAAAAGCAACTATGTATGGTTCCAAGCCTGCCAATGTTTTCGCTCTGGATGTGAAGGTATTTGTACTCCATAATCCATTTTCTCGCTATCCACAGTCTCCTCTTGGATAAAATTGGTCAAACACTGAAAAAAGGAGATGTCGACAATTGACCCTCAGTCATCGGTCGAGCACGTTTGTCATCGCTCGTTTGAAGATCCCCAAAATATGACCAAAGTGACACACTTGCTAAAGTCATCTTGCCCTCTTGCTGTGCTTTTGTGTAGTGCTTCTATGCTCCACATTCTCCTCAGTCAGTTTTCTTGCCGCCCACATTCTCATCTCGTTGAGTAGTGAATACAGAAGATCTCTACCTCTGGCCGAGGCATTTAATACAGCGTGATTTTGCATTTCGCATCACCAACTGAAGTAGCAGCTTTTTTTGCCCAGCCCTTAATCTCTTCTCCAGTACATTTGCTCCAGTAGTGAATGCAGGTGATTTCGTGTTTTGAGTGATGCATTCAGTGCAGCATAGAAAACTAATCAATTCAGTGCCTTACTGTCGAAAGCAGGCACAACCTCTGGACGCAGTGGTACACAGTCTCAACTTTGTGGTAACACTCCTCTTTCATGCTGCCCTTAGTCTCCAGACAAGAGACCCTGACCTAAACCTCTAAAACAAACATGCAGGCTAACAGTGTCTTACTCTGTTGCTGAGACTTGCCTCACTTCAAAGGTTTTACTTTGCTGCAACGGTGCCCTCAGTCTCCTCTCGGATAAAATTGATGAACAAGTAAATCTTAAAAAAAAAAAAAAAAATGTTGAAATGTTTGGAAAAAAAATCTGCCAATTTTGAAAGAGCTAGTATCGGCTAATTTAATTGGCCGGGCCCACTTTTGACAGTACCCCGCTACTTGTACATCAGTAAGGGACGAAAGCCATAGATCAGTTGTTATAACGTACATGCTTAAGTGTACCTCTTGGTCAGGGTTACACTCAGAAGTTTGAATGGGATAATCGAAGTCGAAACTGGCCGTGTAAAAAGGGAAGGTTCGAAAGCCGGGACCGGGGTGTCAAACTTTTTCCCGCACTGTATTTTATACGTCTGAGACACTCGTGTTCATCCAACCGAATGATGTCATTTTGAGATGTTGCTGTGTGAAATCACCCCCAATCACAGCAATCCCCTCCCTGACAGCCTGCTGTGTGAAAGGTAGAGGCTGATAGCCTCTAAAATGCCACCCGAGGCGCTTGAAGCCTAATGCCGGCGGCCATCTTTATCCAGTCCCATGCACTGTGTGCGCGTGTGTGTGTGTGTGTGTGTGTGTGTGTGTGTGTGTGTGTGTGTGTGTGTGTGTGTGTATGCGTATGCGCGTGCACGTTGAAGGCTCTGCAGCACAAACAGGAAGAGGATGGGACGTGGGTGAAGGTAGGGGGTGCTTATTTAAATAATGAGGCATGGAGGGAGGGGTGTGGCGTCAGGGTGGGAGGTAGAGTGACAAGAGAGGAGGGAGACATCCGGAATGACCATAATACACACAGTGAAGTAGGGAGGGGGGGGGAGTGTGTGTGAAAGGCAGGAGGGGGGTGGGGGGGCGACGGAGAGGGGAGGGATCTCCACTGCACTGTTGTGTGACTGGAAATTTAATAGCAGCCACACTGAGGGAGCCACTAAACATGCTGCTGCTGTGTATGAGGCATCTTAACGACGGACCCTCACTGCAGACGGCGTGTAAGGGGACTGGGATGTGGGGGGGGGGGGGCTCGGCTAATGAGCAATTTTATAGTGCTCATTAAGTACACGAGGGGCGCATACTGCAGCAGTTGCGAGTTCAAACAGGAGAACAGGTTGATCGTCCTGTTGCTACGGGGAAAGCGATATGATCGACGATTGTGCCGCTTCACATCTGTGTTGCATGGAAGGAAGCCCAACAATCTGTGGAACCAGTCAGCTGCGAGCCTGGCCCAGCATTAGTCGTTATTTTTGTCCTGGGCTGGAATAGCGGTTCACACCAGCCCATTCCACGCAACAAAGATGTGAAGCACTTGTCTCATGATCCGCGCATGAAGCTCACCAACCTGGCACCTGTGTCAGCGTGGGACCTGTGAGAGCCGGTGCGAGTGTGTGAGAGAGTGGAAGAGAGTTTGTGTGTGTGACTGAAAGACGGTGTGAGAATGTGTGTGTGTGTAGGACAAAGTGTCAATAATTTTAAGCGAGTCGGCATCAGTGCGTGCGTGTGAGTGTGTGTAACTGCATCTGTGTGTGTGTGTGTGTGTGTGTGTGTGTGTGTGTGTGTGTGTGTGTGTGTGTGGGTGTGTGTGTGGGGGTGCGGGTGTGTGTGTGTGTGTGTGTGTGTGTGTGTGTGTGTGTGTGTACGCACGCTGCACCGAGTGCGCGTGGGCGTTGCCACAGCGACCGCTCGGGTAAGCGATGTGACGCAACCTGCAGAACGCGTGCGTGGGAATCGAACACTTTCACGCCGTCGTGAATAATCGGCATCTTTCCTAACCACCACTTGCTCGTCTTTGTGCCGTTCAGGGAGCTCACGTGCGTTCCGCAATCATCATCATCACCATCATCCTCCTCCTCACGGTAAAGAGAGATTGGAGGCAAAGGTGGAGAGAGAGAGTGAGAGCGAGGGAGGAGGGAGAGAGGTGGAGGAAGACATCCTCCCATTCGGCGAGCTTTCTGCAGAGAAGCGCGTCGCCGCCGCCACCGCCGCTGCCACCGCGAGAGCTCTCGGCGCAGGATGCGTTTTTCCCCGCTGGCGTTGTCGTCATCGTCCGCCTCTCCTCCCGCCAAGGTGAGTCGCTTACGTCCGTCCGACCGTCCTCTCGTCCTTCTTTTCCTTCCGAGGATGGATGACGTCCAAACAGAAACACTTGTGAGCGTGCGCGTGCGGAATTTGGCCCCGCACTTGCTATTTTGCGCATCCTGCGCCCGCGCCGTCCCGGCGTGGACATCCAGGAATCGATGTTGCGTGCGTGCGTGTGTTGGCATGTGAGTGTGTGTGAGCTAGAGTGAGCGTGTGTTTGCATGTGTGTTGGTTTGTGCAAGTGAGTGGGGGGGGGGGGGGGTAGTGTGTGTGTGTGTGTGTGTGTGTGTGTGTGTGTGTGTGTGTGTGTGTGTGTGTGTGTGTGTGTGTGTTTGTTGGTGACAGTGCGTGTGTGCGTGTGTGACCTGGGTTATTTTGTGTGTGTGTAGTTGGTGGAGTGTTTTTACCATACACGTGTTTTTTTTTTGAATGTGTGATATGTATGAGGGGGTGCAGGTGTGTGTCAACGTGTGAGAGAATATTTTTTGGGGCGACTAATGTCTGTGTGTGTGTGAGACAGTGTGTTGGAAAGTGTGTGTTTGTTATTGCGAGCGCGCGCATGTGTGTGTGCGTGTGTGCGCGCGTGTGTGTGTGTGTGTGTGTGTGTGTGTGTGTGTGTGCGTGTGTGTGTGTGTGTGTGTGTGTGTGTTCATGATTGTATGTAATTGTTGGTCTGGATGTGAGATTAAATGTGTTAGTGTGTGCGCATTTGTTGGGGTGTTTGTATCATTCATGTTTGTTTTTTAGTGAGCGTGTGTGATGGGGTGAAGGCTTGTGTGTGTGTGTGTGTGTGTGTGTGTGTGTGTGTGTGTGTGTGTGTGTGTGTGTGTGTGTGTGTGTGTGTGTGTGGGGGCTGGGGGTGCTCGACGCGTGCGTGTGTGCTGCCATGTGTGTGCGAGTAAGTGTGTGTCTGAGCGTTGAACTCCTCATGTGTGTCCGTGTTCATAAGCGAACGTGTGTGCGAGTAGTTAACTGATTTGCATACTCTCAATTCAACAGATTCCACCCCTCCACCCCCTCGAGCTTGAGGTAGTGGGGTGGTCTCACCTTGAGCCCATCCTTCCCTCCCCTCCCCCACCATCGTCCATTAATGGCACTTGTTTGTGCAAATAATTCATTTCCCAGCTCACCTCCGCCGTGATGATCGCAGGAAATTGCGCAGGCACCTTGCGGGGCTGCTCTGTGTGCGCCAGTTTAAGCGTGTGAGTCAGTCAGAGACCCCCCACCCACCTCCGCTAC